TATGTAAAACGTTACTGGGGTTCTCTTTAAACTTAGATTCCCATCATGAAGTATTAATAACGGCTGCCAGAGTAAAGTTTGTGGATTCTGTACAAGGCTGAAAAATATGGGTCATTCTAGAAATTTCAGGGGGTTTACCTAAGACTACTACTGTTTAGGGTTCTCCTTTTACAATATGTAACAGTGATTAAATCTTAATCTCCTTTAAAGAACTGAGGAAAGAATATGTGCTAACTGTAGCAGTCCTTCATATTTATAAGAGAAAAATAAAAGTTTAACATTCTCTTAGGAGCCGCTCATCTTTCCATTTTGAATTGGGCAAAATATGAAACCAGATATAATATCAATTGACTTTGTTTTTATCAAGTACTTGTAAGAATTAATAGGACTTTCTCTGGCTTGATTAAGCATCTGAGGTGAGGTTAACTGTTTTGATTTCTAGTGATATTCTAGCCTACTGAATAGTCTATCTCAAGAGCTCAAATGAACATGAAACTAACTATTTACCTTAGTTTTTAGGAAAAGAATCACATAATGCAAATCAGAGGAACTATGTGAAAACCACCTATACTTATTTTCTACTACAGTTTTTGATCCTTTTACTAGTTAATTCACCAAATTCAAACTCTCTAAGCCAGAATTCTCTTGCCTGTAATAGCATTAAATATTAAAACCTCCAGATGTCTGTTTTCTGACTTTGTGTCCAGCAGCAATGACTCTCAGCAAATGCTACTCCAGCTCTTGAGGAAATGGACATCAGAGGGCTACCACTGGCTCTGGTCTATTTCAGGCCCCCAATTCATTAGTGTTGGGGAAAGATCAGGAATTGCTTTCAAGTAGTAATTTACTATATGGCTCTCCATTTTCTAAAGGCAAAGATTTCTAGAACCTTAGAATAAGAGTGCTAAATTTAGTGAGTTGTATTTTTTTCCATTATAAAATTTAGAGATTATCTTAAGACTAAGTTTTTCCAATTGATTTGTTAGACCACACTAGTGCCCTGTGACTAATACTTGGTGCCTGATTAATCCTGGGGGAGGAAAAATTTTCTGTGAAGTTCTGACAGTAGATTCTTTCCTAAAGAAACTATATGCCCACTTGTATATTCTGTGATCTTCTCTTCTGGTTGATCAATTGACTCCCTTCTTCCTCTTAAAGGTGTACTAAGCTAGGTCACTAGCTTTTCCCTCTCTCCTTTCTCTCTTATTCCTTCCTTTCTTCCTACAATATTACTTACTGAATGCCTACTATGTGCTAAGTACTAGGGACATAAAGGAATGACCAAATTACTTTGATTTATGGAATATGGAGATGTAGATAAACTGGGTCTTTGCTGAAAGACCCATGGAACAACAAAAAAATTTTTTTTGAGACAGGGTCTTGCTCTGTTCCCCAGGCTAGAATACAGTGGTACAATCATAGCTCACTGCAGTCTCGACCTTCTAGACTCTAGGTATGCTTCCACCTCAGCTTTCTGAGTAGCTGGGACAGGCATGTGTCACCTCTTAGGCTCATTAAAAAAATTTTTTTTGTAAAGACGTGAATCTCACAATGTTGCCCAGGCTAACCTTGAAGTCCTGGCCTCTCATGGAACAAATATTGATTGACAGCAATTCATGATCATTTTACTTTTAAAGGCTTCTCACATTATTTTCATTGATTCATCAGAGGAATTGTATCCCAAGAAAATTGAGAAATGTTTTAATGTTTCAAAGAATAAAGGAGTTAAGAATCATTAATCTAAGACATAATGACCTAATCTGAGAATAATAGACTTAAAAAATATTTCAATATACTTTTTATATATCTTACATAAGATCTAACTCTCCCCAACTTTGAACTTTTAAATTTTTATATAATTCTAAACTAGAATTTTATCATTTATATGGTATATAAAATTGTCTCTTTGAGACAAAAACTTTGAAGTAAAACTTTTACAATTGTCTAATTCATTTAACAAATATTATTTACTGAGTTCTTCTCAGAAACTTGGTAAAAATTAGGAAAACAAATGAAAACACATAGTTCTAAGTTCCCAAAGAACTTAAAAATCCTTAACATTTAATCTTTTCACAGCTTTTCAAATATTTACTATGTCATGGCAGAAAGAATAAAGGCCAACACAGTGAGTTTTGAATTTAAGCTTCATTACAGAGTAGAGGTGAGCAAGTTACCTTCTCTGCACAAGTTATCTTCTCTGCACGCTGATTTCTTCTCTATAAAATAAGAATATCATCTACCTTGAAAAGTTGTTATAGGTATAAAGTGTCTAGTAGAATGCATGACTTAACTAGAATCTACTACATTATTTTTCAGTTCTAAACCACCACTGCAAAAACTCAGATTATTTATACCACTAATAAATACACTGTCTTCTAAAAATAATGCTATCTGAACTATATTATATGCAGATAGGTACTTGAGATGTGAAAAATCCAATTTGATGCTATTTCATATAATCTTATAAATATCCAATGTATTTCCAATTGATAAAGAAAAGTCAAAATCCATTTTGAAGAAATAACTTTAAGTCATATGCACAGTATATTAAAGATCTTCCCAAATAATTATGTTGTTTCTTCTCAAGCATATATGGTCTAATAACTGTTCAGGAGTTCCACAGACTTAATATATATCAATCAAGAAACTACTTTTTGTGGCTCACGCCTGTAATCCTAGCTCTTGGGAGGCCGAGGCGGGCGGATTGCTCAAGGTCAGGAGTTCAAAACCAGCCTGAGCAAGAGCGAGACCCTGTCTCTACTATAAATAGAAAGAAATTAATTGGCCAACTGATATATATATAAAAAAATTAGGCGGCATGGTGGCGCATGCCTGTAGTCCAGCTACTCGGGAGCTGAGGCAGAAGGATCACTCGAGCCCAGGAGTTTGAGGTTGCTGGTGAGGCTAGGGCTTGATGCCACGGCACTCACTCTAGCCTGGACAACAAAGCGAGACTCTGTCTCAAAAAAAAAAAAAAAAAGAAAAAAAAAAAAAAAAAAAAGGAAACTACTTTTTAGGACTAGATTTCTTAGATATTAACCTAAGAGGCTGCCCTAGGGGTAGTCTCAAGAACTGAGGTTCCCCTTTCTTAGTGACAAAGAATAGCATCTACGGAGGCTTTTAGGGTAACAGTTACTGATTAGTTGGCCAGGTGTGGTGGCTCATGCCTGTAATCCTAGCACTCCGGGAGGCTGAGGCGGGTGGATCGTTTGAGCTCAGGAGTTCGAGACCAGCCTGAGCGAGAGCGAGACTCTGTCTCTACCAAAAATAGAAAACATTTAGCTGGGGATGGTGGCACATGTCTAATCTAAACAAAATGTGATAGTTCTTAGTACCTATACAGAGAGGATAATGAGGGATAGAAAATATCAAAATATACATTCATATTCAGAAACATTTTCAGTATACAGTTAAGGAATACACATTTGCTAAATAAAAAATTATTTTAAAACATCTTAAAATCAATGACATTATATAAATTCATAAAGGAAGAGACTGACTTCTATCATCAAGTGTGAAGCAGTGTAAGGAGAAAATTATTTGGTATACCATGCAAGAAAGGATTCTACTCATTTGATAAATTATTTTTTTATGAAAAAGAATTAAAACATGAATATTCAGGATTCCAAAAGAATGGTGAGCAAAATTCATTGATGGAATGTTAATTTTTCCTTGACCCAAAAACCCATTGATGATGGAATCAGAGTATCAGAATTGAATTTTACTAAAATGTTATCTTTAAATTATTTTAAACTGTTACATGTAAAAAATAAGATGAAAATGTCCTCATGGCTGGGCACGGTGGCTCACGCCTGTAATCCTAGCACTCTGGGAAGCTGAGGCGGGCGGATTGCTCAAGCTCAGGAGTTCAAAACCAGCCGGAGCAAGAGTGAGACCCCATCTCTACTAAAAATACAAAGAAATTAATTAGGATAGGTATATACAAACATAACAAGTGAGATGTGCAACGTTTGGGGGATGGTCACATTTGAAGCTTTGACTTGAGGGGGGAGGGGAGATTGGGCAATATACATAACCTTAATATTTGTACCCCCATAATATGCTGAAATAAAAAAAAAAAAGAAATTAATTGGCCAACTAAAAATATATAGAAAAAATTAGCCGGGCATGGTAGTGCATGCCTGTAGTCCCAGCTACCCGGGAGGCTGAGGCAGGAGGATCGCCTGAGCCCAGGAGTTAGAGGTTGCTGTGAGCTAGGCTGATGCCACAGCACTCTAGCCTGGGCAACAGAGTGAGACTCTGTCTCAAAAAAAAAGAAAAAAAAAAAGAAAATGTCCTCGGATCATACCTTCTGTAAGATCCAACTTTGTGTATTTTCCTTTAAGGTAATAGCAATTATTTAACACTCCAGTCAATGATAAAAGAAAATTAAGATATTATTCAGCATTATGCAACTTCTTTACAACATATGCATACATGATTCCCATACTTTAGATTTAAATGTTTAATACATTTAGTCAATAGCTGTCTACAATCAACAGTAATTTTATTTCTACATAGTTCTTAATATTGAGATTGACAGGGCACAGTGGCTGCCACCTATAATCCTAGCACTGTGGGAGGCTTAGGCAGGAGAATCGCTTGAGGTCAGGGGTTTGAGATCAACCTGAGCAATAGTGAGATGCTGTCTCTATTAAAAATAGAAAAAAATTAGCTGGGCAACTAAAAAAAAAAAGAGAAAAGAAAAAATTAGCCGGTGTGATGGTGCACACCTGTAGTCCCCGCTACTCAGGAGGCTGAGGCAAGAGGATTGCTTGAGCCCAGGAGTGTGAGGTTGCTGTGAGCAAGGCTGACACCACGGGCACTCTAGCCCAGGCAACAGAATGAGACTCTCTCTCAATAAATAAATAAATATCTAAAGACACCTATGTCTATGGAGGTTCAGGTTTCCAGCTAGACCTATAGTAAGGCAAGAAACCAAAGGAAGGAAATTATTTCCATCACATCTAAGCCTAAGAGGTCCACTTTCAATTGCTTACCTCCAATATTCTGAATTATTATGGTGCCTGCCACCACCACCTATAAAAGAACAAATATATTCAGAAGATAAAAGGTGAAATAACAATTAGTATTTTATTAATATCAAATAACTATTACTAAAAAACAGATGCATAAGTCATGAGTGAAGAGAAATTGGAAAGTAAATTTTGTCATTTATAATACATAAAATTAACAATCATCACATTAAAAAAGCCTTTCTTTTATAGTTCCATGGTTACTATAAAGAACATTCTTAAAATTTTTCTTGGCAGTCATTTTTAAATAGTTAAAAATATTAAAAGCTAATAATAGTCATTATCAAAGTAAAAATAATTAAAATTCAATCTATGGGGTAGGTGTGTCATTCTCTCTTTCTTACTGGTTTTACTACACTGCTTTAGTAGGGAGACAAAGACAAATTGGGATATGCTGTGCCAATCCTGTATTGCCTAAAAAGAAATGATATCATTTTCTGAGTATATCAGCTTAGCATACACCCAGCCTTTGAACATCTCAGTCCCAGGGTTTAATAAAGACTAGAGCAGAAAATTCTAAAGCCCAAATACTCTCAGTTCCTGAAAATGTAGGCAAAATACTTCCAACACAAAAATGTGATATAAGTTGAGCGTAAGATAATAGGAGGTGGCAAGAACTGTAGTATATTGGAGAACTCCTCCCCTTTCAAAATGGGGCAGCTGCTACTCAGCTCTGGCCAGTTGATGGCATCTGAGAATGTGGATCTAATATAAGCAGATCTTCTGATTTTTCAAGGAAAGTCAGAGATTGAATTGTTTTCAAATTTTCATGACTCTTAGTTGGTAACTAGTTAAAAATAAAAAAGATTTGAGCCAAATAAAATTCAGTCTGCAGGCTTGGTAGCTTATCATCTTTGATGAGATTCCTAGGAAACTCAAGGTAGTCAGATACACTCAGAGGAAATTGTAAAACATTGTGCTTCTACTTGGGCCTTTCAATCACTCAAATCTTGGTGGATCAGAACTTTTAATGTATGTTTGGAGCTGATTAGCTAGCTAGCATCATTCCATCCTACATGGACTGAGAACAGATCATCCTTCAGGCCCATCTCTAGTAGGAATTCTATCAATGGCAGAGCAGAAACAATCTAAGTTACTGGGTCCTAGGGGTGTTGGGGTTTGCAGAAGAGGGGTAATGGTATAAAAATTTAGCAAGGTGTCTTTGGAAATATGGTAGTTGCCACTCTAACATTAACCAGAAGTAACTTTGCATCTCAATCCATGTAAAAATTAGTTTCAATATGCCAGTTATTTGTGTAAAGACTATTTTGAACTTGTGTATACTCTCTTCAGTACAAATGATACCTAGTGTCAGCTATATATACAATTTGGATTTCTACTCTATTAATATATTGCAAAATGCAATGATACCAACTTATTGATGATTATTTTTCCATTCTTTGGCTGAATTTAATTATTCACTACCTAGAAAACCAGAATATCTATCTACCTACCTACATATCTACTTACTTACTTATATCTTCAGTGCCTGGCACAGTGCATAGCACATAGTATTTTATCAATAAATATTTGTCTGGTGAGTACACATCAATTTATAGACACTTTAAAAATCTTCCTTAAAAGGTTAAAAACACTTCAAAAATATTTGTTTTCATTCTCAGAACAATATTATCCTATCATATATCATATTTATATCATATCTAGAGAGAAGGAAATAGGTAAGTTTCAACCCAATTGTGGAAGTGGGGAGGAAATATAGAAAGAAACACTCCTCCTCATTCAGAGTATGCTTGTCTAGTGCACCTGCCTACTATGAATAGGGTACATATATTAAAATGATAATGCAACTACTCTAGGGTTGTAGGAAAAGGAGACTCTCAAAAATCCATACTTTTTTAGGCTTTGCTGCTATGCAAGGACTGCGGGAAATACTAACGTGAGATGATAGCGATGCTGGTGTGATACTTAGAATCATGTTTACAGATTATTCTAAATTATTTGGAGAATTTTCTTATACAAATACATTTTCTTCTTCTTCCTTGGTGACCGATGTAGGATATTGACCACTGTTTACACTAAACATTCTGATTTCTAGAAAAGAGTAATTATTACTAAGGATGATTAATAAAATCCTTTACCCTCAAGTTACATATTCTGTTTTGTTCAAGTTTCAGGTTATTAAAGTCCAAGTGATGATGCTACATAGTATATGATTTAAACATTCTCTTTTGTACTTTAAAAACAAAATTAACTGGAATGTAAATACAGATTTTCGTCCCCATTACATAACTATATCTTTTCCTCCAAGATTCACTTATTAGAAGTTAGTTTAACCATCTGCAAACATAGTATCCTTTTAGATTAAAAACAAAATAAACCAAAAGAAAGTTAAGTATTTGAGGTAGTACAAATGTTAATTAGCTCAATTTAGCCATTCCACAATGTATACATATTTCAAAACAACATGTTGTATGTGATAAAATTAATTCTAATTTGTCAATCAAAAAATAAACACACAAGCAACAGATTTACAAACAAAAGGAAAAATTCCTATTTGGAACCAAAATTAATATGGGTTTTAGAAGTATAGTAGCTCCTCAGAAATTTAAAAAAAAAAAAAGCTATAGCACTGACAGTAATGTTTAACTCCTGATTATCTATGGAAGAAGACAGTGTTTTTCCCTATCTCTTAAACAGTTTAGTATGTGCATCACAAATGAGTGCTAGTGCCCAAGACAAATTGCTATTATTTGTCTTATTCTGAGCAAGAAAAGCAGTAGACTTAGAGTCTGAGTCCTAGGATGTAGTACTGATTTTATGTAATTGTTAATAAATAGGCCCCTTAATTTCTCTAGTCCTTAATTTCCTCACCTATAAATGAGAGGGAGGATAGCTTGATAATCTTTCAGCACTGTTCAACTCTTAAGTGATATGATCTTCTAATGACTGGTTCTGTATATAGCCATGCTATAATTTTGATTCTAAGCTGCTTTCTTCTCCTGTCTTTATGAGGATTTACTCAAGAATACAATCAAAATTAATATGGAAAAGTTAAAATGGGCCATTGTTACTCTTTTAAAATTCTTCATGTCATTGAGCTCCTTCATTGGGGTGAAAATGTACTAAAAGAGTTGAGTGTTGGCCGGGCGCGGTGGCTCACGCCTGTAATCCCAGCTCTCTGGGAGGCCGAGGCGGGCGGATTGCTCGAGGTCGGGAGTTCGAAACCAGCCTGAGCAAGAGCCCGTCTCTACTATAAATAGAAACAAATTAATTGGCCAACTAATATATATATATAAAATTAGCCGGGCATGGTGGCACATGCCTGTAGTTCCAGCTACTCGGGACTCTGAGGCAGGAGGATCGCTTGAGCCCAGGAGTTTGAGGTTGCTGTGAGCTAGGCTGACGCCACGGCACTCACTCTAGCCTGGGCAAAAAAGTGAGACTGTGTCTCAAAAAAAAAAAAGAGTTGAGTGTTGAACTTACTCATGTATTTTTTAGGAAGGGTGCAGAGAGAGATTTCTTCTCTTTCTCTGCCTGCTCCCATCATTCTGTCTTATCTCACTTTACTTGCCTTTTATTCCCCTAATGTCTTTCTCCTATATATGCTTGTCTGTTTTAACTTGAAACTGAAGCAAAAAATGTCACTTTGGGTTTTGGATACAATAAAGAGAAAAAATTACCTTTCCAGGTAATCCAAATGCAAAGAGTCCAAGATCTTCATAAGATGTTACAGCTGTTAAGATAAATTACATTTTTCACTTTTACTTTTATTTATGTGCCAGGCCTCAAAAGGAATAAAGTTAATTTTACTACTACAAACTGAGCACACTATAATTCTTATGACCCAAGTCATTCAGGACTAGACAGAAATATAAGACACGAACATCTTTGAATAAAGGCAATTGTGAAAAAGAAGGCTAGATTTAACTGAGTATTTTACGTAAAGGTCTTTGATAATTTTCTTCATCAAATCGTTAACTTTCACCCCAAAGTATAACCTACAAAGCCTATGATTTTCAGATGTCTTTGTATTATACAATGTCTTTTTTTCAGTAGTGATGGTTTTTACTTTTTAAAAAATCACTGATTCCTTTTATTATGTTCCGTTAATGTATCTTACGTTCTGAAAAATTTTATCTGTCAAGCTGTACATATTAATAATTATTTCCCCCTTTAATAAGCAAAGTTTCTGACCATTATATGGTAACTAATGTGAACACACAAAATTAATGTAATTTTGGTCACCAACTAATAACTATCTATCTATGTGACATCTCTCTGTATTTATTTTTAGTTAATCTGTATAAGCTGATCATGGGTAAATTTGTGATTTCTCTTAGGCATTCTGAAATACTGAAAGTAGCTCAAACAATCCCAATATCAATTTTGAAAATGTCTAGCTATTTAGATCTACCTGCTTTATAGCTATTGGATGGTCAGACTAAATTTATAGAAGTAACCATTTTTTGTGAAAAATTTTGAAGACGTATGGTCTGTAAAGATTGGGTCCTCTTAGAATAGGTAGAACTTTTAAAGTTGTCTGACAACCACTCAGGCTGCATTAATTAAAATGGGATAACTACTCAAAAACACCCTCACTTCTCACTACATAGTACCTGCATAACTGTCCTAATGTAAGTTTTCATTGGCGATGGTTTCTAAAAACTGGATATATAAATAAAGTTAGATAAAATATAGTAGTTGTATCATACTTTCAGAGACATTCACTTTTCCAGGTGCCTAGGATGATGATTGTGTTCATGAAAGAAACAATACTCTTATCTCATAATTAGTAGGGTATAAAGTTTCTTTTTTCATCATAAAACAGTATTAAATTACATTCTCCTGTCACCTGTTCAAGAAGTATGGTCATAGAAAAGATGAAAATTAAATGGCTCATAAAAGAACCAAATTTATGTCCTTAGACTATATAGCTTCATGTTTTAACTAGCGGTGGTGTCACTATTTGTATAATCCTATAGTTTGAAAAGTGCTTTACCTTATAGTGCTTACACTAAAGAGAAGCAGAATAGTAGATACTAAAGCTGGTACAGCAATACATATCTCCTATGTATATTAAAGATATAGCTTATCATTTTTCAAAACCAGTTTTAATATATCCTCTCAAGATATACATGGATTTTCTTTCAACTGCCACTACATTAACAAAAAACTCCTCTGTACTTTCAGAACCAAAGACCTCTAGGTATGTAAAAATGAGCATTTTAAAAACCATATATGGTCTTTACGTATTATAACTACAAAGTCAGAAAAATATAAGTAGCATACTGAAAAAATAAGGAGTTTTACTAATTAAGAATGAAAGTTTTAACTTTATTATCAGAGTTGATCGAAGAATTTGGAAACTTTTTGAACGATACGGCTCTTTTAGACAATGTTTTTACATACTGCTAAATATAGTGCATGAGGACAATTTGGCTTTGATCTTGGGATACATAACTTGATTATGAGTAGGAATTTTTATGCTTTAATAATAAAAGACTTCAACAATAATTTTACAGGGGTATATTTTGGATATACTTTAGAGCATATAATTAAGAAACAGAGTTACAAAATTAAGAACAGGAATTTTTTCCTCCAATGTGAATTGCTAAAATTCTTCTTTCAAATACATATATTCTAAAGTAAATGCCATCACAAAAATAATTATTTTAATCAATAAATCTTTACTTTTTTAAAAAAAACATTCTTAGACTTAATTGATAATGTATATGGACACAATTCTTTACATTTAACATTCCAAAGCCTTGGTATTATATTAGAGCTGAAAATTATCTAAATATTAGCTTCTCTCTAATTTGGCATTGAGAAGGTAATTTTGTTACATATTAGGTGAATCAAGTCTACAGAGGATCTCTGATCTGTCACCCTGAGGCATGAGATTAAAGAAATATCACTGTATGTTTTTAGCACCCCTTTTATATTACAGTTAAATGTGTTCATTCTTTCTTAAGAAAAACTTTCCTTCCAAGAATTTAAAGCAAGGATGCTTTTCAGTGTCACATATGGGAATATATCAAATACCTGCTTTTCAAATGACCTATTTTGCATCAGTCAGTGAGCAAATTATCAACACAATACTTATCAAAAAGTTCAATTGGGGTTTGTTTTATTTTTAAACAGCATGAAATAAGTATAGATTGTATATTTAGTAAACATGAAAAGCAAATACGCTTACTATGAGCAACAATCATAAGACTAAAAGATTCCAAAAGGAATTGATATTTCAGTTATCTAAATTTAAATAAATTAAACATTTATTTTTTCTTTAAAAAATTAAAATACAATCTTTAATGTTGCAGAAAATATCAAACTAACAGCTTAATGAAGACAGTTTTAATTGCAACTCTGACAATAATGGAATACGTTTTAGCAATCTCAAATTTGCTCTCTGGGTCTATTATTTTTTAGTTTTATAAAAATATCTCTCTATATAACAAATGTCAGAGTTGAGAATGAAACAAGTATTAGACTCTTAAAATGGAGACTGAGTACAGTGCTCAAGTCCTAATTCTAGCTTTCCAGTCAGCATGTCTGGCTAGTCACTCAGTTCTGTCACTGTCATCAGACTTCTTTTATGTTGCAAAAATTAGAAGCACTTTTCCATGCCTGAGACGACATGAATATGAATAATGGCTTTTGGATTAACACTGATGCTTTACTAAAATAAAATGTGTACACAGTCAGCCAAATGCTTTATCTCCACATATTCATTTTTAATGGTTTTCTGGAACATCCTGACATATAAACCACACTAGTTGAATACTTTTAAAGTTCTGTTCTGTCATTTGGGCCATTTCTTAAAATGCTGGTAACAGTAAAAAGTGGTACTGACTGTTCAAATCCAATATGAACAATGAACCTTTAAAATATTTAAAACATTTGACACCTGGGAGCTTGTCTTAGGAAATAAAACTAAAATCAAGAGAAATCATTATATGCAAAGGTACTCATCATGGCATTGTTCACACTGGAAAAATAAAACTAATCTAAATGTTCAACAATGGGAAATAGTTATATAAATTATAGTAGGTATACCTGATGGAATAATATGTAATAATTAAAAACTATGTTTATAACATGAAAGATGCCAATATTATTTTAAGAGAAAAAATACATAAAGAGTGGGATTGAATCATACACAAATGGTAATAATGATTGTTTAGTTTTTATTTTCTTCCTTCTTTTTTAGGGGGTAGAGGTTTCAAATATTCTACAGTGATTATAATGGAAGTAGTGGAACTTTATTTTTGTTTTGTTTTATAGAGAATGAATCTTGCTCTGGCTGGTGTACAGTGGCCCAATGAAAACTCATTGCAGCCTTGAACTCCAGCGCCAAGCAATCATTCCACGTCAGCCTCCTGAGTAGTTGGGATGACACAGGCACGTGCCACCATGCCTGGTTAATTTTTAAAATTTTTAGTATAGAAGCGGTCTCTTACTATGCTGCCCAGGCTGGTCTTGAACTACTGACCTCAAGTATTCCTCCCACCTTGGCTTCCCAGAGTGTTGGGATTACAGGCGTGGGCCACTGTGCCAACTGGAACTTCATTTTTTAAAACCACATTATTTGAGTAATTCCATTTCTTCTACCAAATATCTGATAGGTTTTATTTAAGATGTAATTTTAATTTTCTCTGGTGTTTAGTGTTGAAGTATTGCTTGGTCTGCTAACAGGGGATATTCTTTTCGGCTCTTTCCTGAGATCAACATCTTATGAAAGATGTTTTGAGAGATACAAAAATAAGATGTGGTGATGACTAGTCACATTAACAGCATATTCCTACAGAACAGGAATAACATTAATTATGAAATTAATTCAGTCTTTTACAGGAATTCATATAAACAGTACTTGGCACAGCCCTTAAATAAACAACTGAAAGTAATCATTAACAATTTATTTTAGGAAATTATTTTTTGATATTAAAGAAATCAATACTATGTTTTGAGGGGACAGAAAGGCTATAAATCTTAATCAAGTAAGTTGAAGGAAATTTCTTCTTTAATGTACCATCAAGGCACACTTTAGTGCTATTTTGGCTAGATCAAGAGTAGGGCCTCTATAGGAATCATTTGGAAAGCTGCTTCCCATGAAATAGTGGAATATTTCCAGCTAGTTACTCCAGTGTTCTGTCTGCTTTGCATTTTTTCCTCAATGAAACAGGACAATTAATAAACTCTGGTGATAGTACAAAGCCCAAGTTTCAGCAGCAGCAATATTATCTTTGGATTTGGATTAAGAGCCATGAGTTATTCAAATACAGTTCAACTCGCAGAAAGTTGGCCCTTTGGAAGATACCCTTATTATTTTGAAATTCTTGTCTTTCTTGTGTTTTCTATCACTTTCTTCCAGACTTTTTTCTTAGTAATAGTGCCCATTCAAGTCTTTCATTTTTTGAATATTCATTATGCAATTTAATTGCCACTTCTGATCTTTCTTAATATGTGTTTAAATGTCAGTGTACCAACTGAAATGTGGCATGATTTTAGGGTATTTCCATGCAGTAACAGAAAACAGAATGCTAGAATACTAGGAACAGTCTATCAGGTGGCACAGAGACTGTGATATTGCATGCATTTAGGGGGATCTGGCATCTCGGTATACTACTTAGCTCTCCAGTGAACAAAATTTACATAGTCATATGCTATAAAAGTTATTCATTAGTTTTCAACTTTTAGATTCAACCTATAGATACAAATACAAACATCTTA